ACTGGTCATTTCCCACAACAGGAATACTAACAAGTGCATTAGCTGTGTATATCAAGACCAACCACATGGGAAATCTACATGACAGGTTTGCTCAGCTGCTATCCTTTCTATGGACCAATATAGCAAATACAGGCACACTTCAGGATGACTGCCTAATTAAAAATAAAAGCAATACTGCTGAACTTACCATCCTGCTGTGAAATCATGAGTTGTAGTTTCCATTCAAACCAAAGGCAATCTAACATAAAAACTGACATCCCTATTTATTTAATTAGCCACGAATATATATAATGGCATATATTAGTGACAGATCAAAAGCCAGTTCTTAAAACCGTGTTATCTCTTTTAGATAAATATCTTATTTGCTGTTATAATCACAATCCATGAGGCCCTAGATCATGACATAAACTTATGTTGAAAGCTGTAAAGGCATTTGGAGGTTAACTAGTCCAATCTTTTGGCCAATTCAGAAATCCCTTCTCTTAATGGAGTCAAATGTTAATTGGGTTCCCCCTAGGTACAAAGCATTATGGTAGGTGCTATATATACTGAGCATTTACTATAATCCATACACTTTCCTAACTGCTTTATATTTAATATTCATAATAGCCCTATAAAATAATACTATTACTAAAAATTTTACCAATGTGAGAAAAAAATATGAAGGAATTAGTTAACTTGCCCAAGCTCTCTCAGTCAAGAAGTGATAGAGCCAGAATTCAAATCTAGATACTGTACTTTCTTTTTGATTTTTTTTTATTATTTTTAATCCTCACGCAAGGATATTTTTCCATTAACTTTTAGAGAGAGTGGAAGAGAAAGGGAAGGGCAGAGAGAAATATCAATGTGAGAGAAACACATCGATTAGTTGCTTCCTGCACGCGCCTGACCAGGGCCCAGGCCAGGGAGAAGTCTGCAACCGAAGTATGTGCCCTTGATCAGAATCGAACCCAGGACCCTTCAGTCTGCATAACGACTCGCTATTCACTGAGCCAAACCAGCTAGGGCTTTTTTTAATGTTTTTAATAATTTGATTTTAAAGAGAGAGAAAGGGAGAGGGAGAGAAAACATCAATGAAAGAAAAACATCTACAGTCCAACACTCTGCTCTTAATCACTATACTAATACAGTACTGCCTCTCTGGGAGAAGGATAGAGAAAACAGAATGAAAAATGACTCCACCCCTCCAGGAGCTTAGTCTCACAGGAAGAACATGTACCTCTATGACTACAATTCTGTGTGATAACTGCTAATGACACATTAAAAGTAAGGAGAGCTTAATTAAGGCCCTGGCAGTAAGGACAGAGAAGTGGGAAAGATGATAAGTGACTTTATTTTTTTATTTTTGTTACTTCTCACCCGAGGATATTTTTTTCATTGCTTTTTAGAGAGAGAGTGGAAGGGGATCGGAGGGTAGGGAGGGGAGAAAGATACACTGATGTGAGACACATCAATTGGTTGCCTCCTGCATATGCCCCTACAGGAGGTGGGGAGCAAACAGCAACCCAGATTCATGGGGAACCCATGAACCTTAGCTGTGCAGGCCAACATTCTAACCACTTCACAACACTGACCAGGGTAAGTGACTTTAAAAAGGTGAGCAAATGGCCTGGCCAGTGTGGCTCAGTGCTTGAGCGTGGACGTATAAACCAGGAGGCTACAGTTGGAGTCCAGGTTAGAGCATATGACTAGATTGCAGGCTCGATCCCTATGTGCCGGGAGCCAGTCCATCCTTGCTGTTTCAAGGGACCTGGCATATATGGCATACTGTTCTTAATATGTTTGCTCACCTTCTTGGCACTATGTGTTTTAACCAAGGTCACCTCTCCGAGAAAGGTTGTTTCCCCAGATAGGGATTTTCCCCTGAAGTTAGGGAGGGAATAAAACCTCTTAACTA